AAAAATGATATGCATTATGCAACACATCATTTATGATCTTGAATGGCTCAGGCAAAACTTTCTAATTTTATTATGCGACTATTCTTTTTCTGTCGCAGAATTTTACGAATTTATAGTTTCTTAATAGGATTACTGTTCAAGAAAGAATAATATTGTGAGGTTTTATTAATGTGTTTCTTTAGTTTCTATGAGGTTGTAATTTATATATATCTGTATTTTTGCATCTGTATGTGACCAATGTTCAAACAACAAAATTTCATCAAAATCCTCAAATAACTAAAGACAATATTCACCCAATATGTTTTGCCTTGTACCAAATTTGTATGACTATCTGGGAAACAGGATAATACGGTAGTATGGCAACCAGTCTGACATTTTGAATTAAATTGAGAAACAAAATTACGTGCAATAATTACTCTCCATAAATTGTGTCAATACCTACACAGTTCTGGCATGCTTGAGAAACGGCATGTTCAAATATTGTTTTTGATGTCTTGAGAATAAAATTGCTATCCGTTGGTCAAACGGAAAAATAAAAATTGATAATTACACGTCTCCCATTTTGATTAAAATTGGTCCAGAAATGAGCAAGAAATTATGCCTATACAAAATATGAACAATATGAAACACTAGGTACTGAGCAATGATTTGCTAAAAAGGTTCACTAAGATCATAAAATATTTACTGTCACAAGATGGGCCCATGGGGGAGCCATATGTTAATTTCGATTTGTTTAGTTGATAAAACTAATTTACAATCCTGAAGACAAATGCCTAGCATTCATCTTGTTTTTCAATAGAAACAACACCCGACTGCATTTCAGATTTTGCTACAGAAAATAACCATAATGATGTAAATGAAGTTACAGGTATAATAGATAATTAATTGCATGCACTTCTAGGTTTCACCTCCAGGGAAAGGAGTTAGCAGCAGGGATACTATTACAGAGCCAAAGATACTGATTATAAACTGATTGTAAACTGCTACTACAAGACAGAAAGGGAAGCCTGGCTAAGAGAATGGCTAACTCACCCACAGAGTTTACAGTGAATTGATCACCATGGGATAGTTCTTTTCAAAGATTTGAAATAAAAAGTTAATTTATTTCAAGAGGCATTTTCCAAAACACATTTATTATTCATAATATTTGCACTGCACAAGTTTTTTTTTTTTTTTTTTATATCATACAAATAACACAGAATGATAATATTGTGAGTTGGCTGGCATACATGTAGTAGATCAGGATAATTGCATGAAAATCTAAAAATCTGGGTCTACAATAATATTCCGTTACCTATAAACAAATTTTACTCAAAATCTGATTTGATAGATGTTCTTTAATTAACCATAACTAGACAATTTAAGATAGCTAGAGTATTACATTCATATTTGTTTTCATCTCTTGATTGCGACTAAATGGCTACAAAAAGACCCAATAAAGTAAATATTGTTAGAATCACCAGGGTTCAAGCTTTTTAAAAATGTGTATTTTATGTGTGTATCTATGTTCTGTGACGTGTGACTTTTTTTTCACATTTCCTAGTTGTCTTAGGGAAGAGTAGGAAATCAAACGGGCGGTGCACCGCGGTCATTACCGCGGTGGTGGTGGGTGCTCGCCGGTC